GCCTTTGTGGGCTACGTGGGCTTGGTCCTCACGAGGCCAGTAAGCTGGAAATGAGCGGCTGTGAAATTGGACAGTCTAGCCTTCTTGATTTGTTCCCGCCCTTACTTCCGCATATTTCTGGTCGCTAGCACCACAGCGTGAAAACGTTACAAAAATGGGCCCAAAAATGTTGCTCTTTTTCCAGGCACTTACTAGAAAGAAAAAAAAACTCTATGCAAATGCCCAAAGACCTTCAACAAAACCGCTATAAAAATTTAACTTTTGCTCCACCACATTTTCAGAACCTACCATAAAAATAAGGGACTGTCCTTTTATGTAAGAAATCTTATAAATCCAGCAGGGGATTGAATAATTATAGCCCCACTGTATTTTAGATGGTTGCTGGGTCTCAGTAAAGCTTAAGGAACACACTTGCAGAGAGGTCACAGACACATAAGTTAACCACTATTTTTTAAAGTCAATCAGGCCAATTTAATCTTTAAATAACTAAGGACACTGTGCCAAAACTAACTAGGTCAATAAAACTACATGAAGCAGAGATTCTAACAGGTGAGTCCCGTTTTCCACAGGTGTCACGTGAATCAACCACCTCGCCGGCACAGGAGGAGACAGACATGATCCAGAAACATGTGCACGGTGGAGATGCTGAGCGAATCGTAGTCCAGGCTGTGGGCAGAGACTTACAGTGAGATGAGAAACTACTTCTACCTCCTTCCTTCGTTCTCCTGTTAGTGAACTCGACTCTTCTTCTGCGAGGACTCAGTGACACCAGATCAGAGCAAAATGTGTAGGAAAAATGAGCAAGCGTGCTTCTTCTCATTCTCGATGATGCCAAAGATTTTTCCCTTCTGACAGTTCGGTTTGTGTGGGGGCAATTACCTGAGACCCACATAAACACCAGTTATTTTACTAACACTTATTAACCCTTATTATGAGTTATTATTGTGACAAGAATAAAACCAGTTCTGCGTATACAAACAAATATTATGTTAAACTACAACAGCAAAGCTACCCAAGAGAGGAGAAGAAGGAGCTGAAGCTGATTTTATTACATTACGAACTTTGATTATGTGATTTATAGTGAAATAAAAAATATTTCCATCCATCAGTCCATACTCTACCGCGCGTCCTCCCCACCCAAACCTCAGCCGAGAACATTTCTGAAACCTGAGAGCACTGCGTCAGGTTTCTGGACTTGCTGAAGCCCGTGCTCCAGCTCGGTTTGCCTGGTTTTAAACAGAACTTTTATTCTTCGGGACTTTTTCAGTTCCTGTGATCTGGATTTTCTGTGACTGAGACGTGTCTCGATGAGTCCAGTGCTATATCTGAACTTTTACCAGTCGATTGTTGCTATTTTAACTCACCATGAACGTCGGGCAGAGGTGGAGGCACAGGTGGAGGCAGAGGTGGAGGCACAGGATTACAAATGGAAGCAGTGCTCTTATTAAATTCTTTTGGCAACAGAGAAAGACTGGACTCAGAGTGGTCAAGCTCCAAAAATGATCTTTATTTTACATTTGGAGACCCGTCACACGAACACACACAGGTCTGAATTCTTTGCCAGCTAAATCCGTATATATATTTCTGCACTGCATCACACCGACACACAGTTTACTTAGTTCTGCTTTTTCTGTCTGGTTTATTAATACG